TTTTAAAAATTACATAAATAGATTTGCCACGTAAACCAGCAGTTCATAATTCTTTCTGCTCACATACACCTTAATACATTGTGAAAAAGTCCTAGGTTTTTCTGTCTGAGAGATGTGTGGATACTCACATACATATCCTGCAAATGCAGCTTCAGAAGGTTCAAGGGTACCTTTTCTGTGGTCCCTAGAATCTTCATAGGGTCAGTGGACTCTAGCAAAGGACCGTTAGTAAGAAAAGTTCCATAGTTCCTAAGATTCTTACCATGGCTAATCTCTGGAATTTGTTAGTGTGTTGCCTTACCTGACTAACAGAGAATTAAGATTGCAGGTGCAGTTGAGGATGAATCAAGCTGACCTTGTTGGCTGAATGGATACTATTAAAGGATACTGCCCAGCTGACCAGAATCCTTTGCCCTGAGTATCTGGCTGGACTTAGTCATATCCATTCTCACCAGCAGAATCCTCCTTGACTGTCCTCACAGGGTGGAGTGACCCTGAAAGAAGTGTTACAGGAAGACAAGACTGTGTTCTGCATCTGGGAGTTGGAAAAGTATGGAAATGAATTGTCCCCTAGAGCCTCAGAAAGGAACATAACTCTGCCAGCACTTTGATTTTAGCCCAGTGAGACCTGTGTCAGACATACCTGCAGAAATGTAAGGTCGGGAGTTTATGTTGTTTCAAGCCAGTAATACCATGGTAACTTGTTATACAGCAATCAGAACATAATCCACTACCTCCATTCCATACTTATAATTCAGTATAAAAGTGACAGCACAGACATTCCTGAAATCTTAATATAGTTGAGCTAAATACAAATTTATGTCTTACAACCTAATTTCAATAAAATAGTAAAATTATCTACTAAAATAGCAATTTGAAGTCGTGTCTTTTAAAAAAAAATAATAAAATGTAGGATGTAGAATTCATGTGAGGGGGAAAATGATTTTTATCCTTTTAAGAATCTGGTTTTAAGCCGGGCGGTGGTGGCTCACGCCTTTAATCCCAGCACTCGGGAGGCAGAGCCAGGCGGATCTCTGTGAGTTCGAGGCCAGCCTGGTCTACAGAGCGAGATCCAGGAAAGGCGCAAAGCTACACAGAGAAACCCTGTCTCAAAAAAAAACCAAAAAAAAAAAAAAAAATCTGGTTTTAAATTGTGAAATATATCAGAAAATCTAATGACCCATTTATCCAGTATCTCTGGTTGCAAAGGCTGAACTCTTGAAGGATTTATAAAACCAATTCTTTAAATGTATATAAAATGTGAGCTTTTTATGTCAGAGAGAACAATCACATAAACAACGGAAAAGAGCCATTGGCCAGCACCATCTCTGCATGGGTTCAGAAATCACAGTGTAAGAAGGAGGGTTCTTGGTTGGCTCAGTTGCTCTTCTGTTTATTCTCTTTATGTTCATATTAGCATTCCTGTCTCTTAAAATAATGAACAGTAATTTCTGGGGATTTAGAAGCTCTTAGTAACTTGTAGTCCTCATCTTGTTTCTGATGGAAATAAATACATAACAACCTCTTTTGGATTTATCTTAAAGGTCAGTATTTTCTTCTCTTCATTGATAATGTTTATGTTGTTTCAAGCCAGTAATACCATGGTAACTTGTTATACAGCAGACAATTTATTTATTCAGACAATTAAAAACATGATGACCTTAACAAAGGAGCTTTCAGTATTACTGACGGCTATCAGCAGAGCTTCAATAGCACCGGTCTGCCTGGCACTGTTTGTGCGTGGGCACCATCATAGATTCTGAAGATGTCTGTTTATCTTCATTAGAAATGGTTTGCATACAGTCACTTTAAAGTGGGGGGGATGTGAAAGTAAGTTAATATATACATGTTTTAGAAAAAGGAGGGGCTAAATGTACATAGTTTTTAAGTGGTCTTACCTCCTATATCTCTGGGAGATATGGCTTCAATGTGTACCTAAGTTTGTTTGTATCTCAGATGTATAGTAACAGGAGTATAATAGGTACTTAGAATATCCATGGAATCACAATGTACTCCCTACCTGTCTTGTGAACAGCTTGTATTTGGCACTGTCTCAGGTGTGCTTATAAATGCCTTTCTGGGTTTTTCTTTTCTTTTTTTTTTTTTTTTAATCTTCCACATAAAGTAATTGAAAGTGGCCTCCAGATTGCCTGATTCCCTGTCATCCTGCAAGAGAGTTCTCATCTTGGCGGCACCTGTGACTTAACAATGGCGGGTCTTTAGTGTTCTTTATGACCTTCTGGATTCTTTTCCCTCTGATTACAAGCCTTCTTTTGATTATGGAAGCCTTCCTATATTGTTTTGGTATTTGCACCTCATTGGACTCTGGTTTTCACTGGTTCTTGGCCAGTTGTTTGATGTTGATTTTCAGCATAGCTTTTCATACCAACCAGGATGTACAAAATCAGATTCTCCAGTTGCCACCAGCTGGCCATTCTCTTTTGTCTCTAGTGGTTCTTTCTGTCTAGAGTAAGAAGGTAGCGCCTACTTTTGTTCTGTATGCCAGTTTAGACTTGTCTAACTTTATTTTGTAAATCAGCTATCCTTCTTGTGGGGAGGGACACACGCTTTACCACTGAGCTGCATCTCCAGCATTGCTGTTGCTGCTACGTGTATTTCTAGTGTGCAGGTGGGTCTGTGTATGTGCACAGATGTGTCTTGTCTTCTTGGGATCCTCCTGCCTCTTCCCCAGCATCAGGATCACAAGTGTGCACCACTGCGCCCAGCTTTGATGAGTTCTAAGGTTAAACTCAGATCTTTTATTAGTAGTAGAAGTATTAATACTCTTTAGTTAGTGTACATACGTCCGTATGTGCTAGTGCCACAGTGGTCAGAGGGCGATTTTCAGAAGTTGGTTCTCTCCATCCACATGTGGTTTCTGGGAATCAAAGTTAGGTAGTCAGGCTTTGCAGCAAGCCTTTCTCCACCAAGCCATCTAGCCAACCCCAAGTACAGATCTCCATGCTTGGGCAGTAAGCGTTTGTTTTTTATTTCATGGAATTAAATCATTTCCATCCCCCAGTTCCATACAGGTCCTGCAGGCCATGTTCTAAAGTACTAACCTATGGCCTCCTGGGCTCCCACTCATTGCTATCTCATTTCTTTGGTTTTGAACCTACAAAAGTTTGATTTTCTTACTTTTGAACTTAAATATGTTTTTGTTGTTGTGAATTTGTTTCTATTATTTTTATTATTGGAATGGAATAGAACTTTCAACCTAGCCACACTTGCCTTTGAGATTAGAAGCATATAATATTTTTTCCTGACCCACTATTTTAGGTCAGTTCACACTAAACAAAATTATTGTAAAGTAAGTTGGTTTTATTTATAACTTACAAACTGTAGACAATGTGTCTGTGGTGTGTGTGTGTGTGTGTGTGTGTGTGTGTGTGTGTGTGTGTGTGTAGTTTGGTTTTGTTTGTTTATTTTTTTTTTTGAGATGGGGTTTCTCTGTGTATCCCTGGCTACCCTATAGACCGAGCTGGCCTCGAACTCACAGAGATGCGCCTGCCTCTGCCTCCTGAGTGCTGGGATTAAAGGTGTGTGCCTCCACTGTCTGGCTGATGGTATTTTTAAAATACTGAATATTCTTCAGCCTAACAGAGGACTTATGAAATTGGTTTCCCTTTTTGTTACATAATGATTCAGTTTTCTAGGTTATGTGCTTGTATAAAATTAAACAAAAACTGCTTCGTAACATTTACAAGAAACACAAATAAGGTAGACTTTTTGGGTTTATTTTTTAATGTTATTTATTTACAGGGGCACATGTGTGTGCTGTAACATGCATATGTAGCTCAGGGGACAACTCTCTGGTGTTGGTTCTCTCCTGCCTCCTTGTGGGATCTGGTTATCAATTCTGTGTGCAAGTATCTCTTCCTACTGACTGATCTCTAGTCCTGTTTTATTTTTTGAGGTTGGGTCTCATTAGCTCAGGTTGGCCTGGCACTCCATTATTCTTCTAAATGACCTTGAATGCCTGATCCACTTACCTCTACCTCCAAATTGCTGAGATTACAGGTGTGGACAACCGCACACATCTTGCCTAGACAGACCAGTTCTGAGCCTTTATTCATTTAATCGTTGGTTATTATCCTTAGGATAGTAGATCAACCCGTGTGTCAGAACATTCACATCCTTGACAGTAGACAATAGACAATACCACATTTTGCCATATTCTGTTCTTTTAAAGGTCTAGACTAACATCCTCCAATAGTTGCTTCAGTTGAATAATGTGATCTGCTTTACTATAAAGAGTATCTGGAAATAAGTGTAATGTTCTTTGTATTATTGATCCAAAACTGTTTTTCCAGGCTTACTTTTTACATCCTTTTTTACAGACATACAAAAATGAGGTGAATGCACACATAGTGATACCTACAGAGAAAGATCGGCCACCAAGTGATGGAAGCATTTCCTCTCCTCTTTGTGTATCCTACCCTGTAAGCCAGAAAAAGAAAGATGTCTACCGTACTAACCAGACCACCTTCATCATTGGAGAAACACCAAAAGGAATCCGCAGGTATGTTGTCTGTGGTAACTCTAGACTTTAGGCTAATTCTCAGAAGAAGTATAGCTTCATAATAAAATATATAATGTATAACCATACCTCACATCCAAATTTCAGAAAATTAGAACTTTTCTATGTAAAAAATGTAATTAAAAAATGCTTTTGAGACAGGATCTCACTAAGTAGCTCAAACTTGCCTGGAATTTGCTATCTATAGTTCAGGCTGGTATTATGAATCTCATGCCTTACCTTGCTAAGTTCTGGGATTACAGAGATGTAGGTGACTAACATGGAAATGGAGCAGTCTCCAGGATTAGGTGAAGAAATGAGTAAGCTAGGGATCTCCACACACAGGTATTCATGTTACCAAGAATGGTATCAAGAGATGGTGAGGTGGACTCATAACCCTGGTCCGCGTGGCCTCTGGACAGTGGAAAAGATACCAGCTCTTATTCACAGTTGATCTCTGAGCTGCCAGAAAAGGAGCAGCAAGCCCTGCAGTAACCGATAGAGCTAGCATGTGGCAGCACCTTTTCCTGCCTGGCAAGCTTGCAACAGTGATTTATGCAGGGTATGCTTTTTTCATTGTAGCCAGTTACTCTTCTAGAAGGCTGACTATATTTCCCCAGTCATTAAAGAAACTTGGGTCTTGGTCCCTATAGCAGTGTGTGTTCAAAAGGAAGTATAATAGTGATTCCTGTTGGCTTCCTTTCATTGTTTACCTAGCCCACGAGGAAATGTCTCATGCTAGGTAGAAAGGTAAAGAGTAATGTTAGAATGCCAGGACCTGCTTGGGCACCCCACCTCTCCTGCTGCCATCGTAGTCAGGCGGAGTCAAGGTATCTTGTAGCAGCCACGTGGTGGACTTCTTTGGGCTTTCAGCATCTCTAGCCCTCAGAAAGCAAAGACAGTGGCATGGTAATGTCAGATGTGGTTCAGCTCCTTCCCAAGAGGAGAAATGCTTTGGAACTTTAGCCATCATAACTTCTGATAGACATGCTGATGGACTTCTAATTTGGTTTTTCCTTTTCCCTTTTCCTAAAGCTACTCTACTAATTTTTTCTCACAAAAGTGGTCAGCTTGACTAGGCAGTGGTGGCACACGCCTTTAATCCCAGCACTTGGGAGGCAGAGCCAGGCGGATCTTTGTGAGTTCCAGGCCAGCCTGGTCTACAGAGCGAGATTAGGACAGCCAAGACTACACAGAGAAACCCTGTCTCGGAAAAAGAAAAAGAAAAAAACAAAACAAACAAAAAAGAAAACAAAAGTGGCCAGCTTATGTTCCTAATTATACCTTGCTTTTTCTTGAATTCTTAGAGAAAATTCTATTGAAGTTGTACAATTAAGAAAATGAGTTGGAAGGCAAAAAATATAATCATTCTGTGCAACCATGGGCATAATTCACTCAAAGGTCCCTTGGGTTAAATAGTGTTGAAGCAGCACTCCTCTCAGGGATGACCTGCCCCAGGGTCACAGGTGAGGTCATACATCATCTCAGCACAGCAGAAATAAAGTTATTTTGGCATCTGCTGAGTCATCACCAAGTCTTGGATAAATAAAAAAAAATTTTAAAAATCTTAAAACCCTCTTGGTCACTAAATCTTTGTAAATAAGCACAAACATTTATTAGGTCCTAGAAATGGATTTGGAGATGAGTAACAGGCAGAATAATAATGTCCTGTTACTTCATGTAATGTGAAAGTAGAGCCCTTTAAGAGCGTGCTTGTGTTCACAAGAACATGGGCAGTTTCCAGGACAGAAATTGGGGAGTTTTTACTTGTGCAATGAAATACACTGGGTAAGTATGACTATTGATCAGGTGTGGAATCTCTGAATTTGGAAGATGTGACAAGATGCTAGTGAGCTCCAGAAGCCATGGCATTCATCTCAGCCGCAGAAAAACGTGGGCACTCATCTTAGGCCACCACTACAACCACAAGAGACGGTAACCTGGCCTGGGAGGCAGAAACAAATGAACAGGAAACCACAAAGAGCAGTAGTGTTTAATGCTCCTAGTTACATACATTTAAAAAAACATTGTTTTACCCTAAGAATGTTTGTATGTAGGAGAAAATTGAGGCAGTATGGGCGACATAGAGGGACTCTGTCTCAAAACCAAAAAAAACCAAATACATAAGAAAAAAAGTAAGATGTTATTTGAAGAAGTGAACTGCCTTCCTAGAGTAAGATACTAACAAACACTTCTATATGTACAAACACAAATGGGCCTTCTGGAACCCTGGAAAAGTGAAGGTAGTAAAATTATTTAGGTTCTTTGAGCCACAGATTGCTGCTTTCCAGAGTGATGGCCATGCAGACCCACGATGCTAGCCACTTCGCATTTTCATCTGTTCTGCGGTGTTCTAGATCCCCTAAGAACTAGCCTTGAGGGTTCCTGGCTCATCCTTACCTTGGCAGAGGTGGACAGTAGAGAACCCCCTCCTGCCCTTCTAAGCACATAGGTACCCCACTGTGGGTGCCAGTAAGAGTTGATTTTACCCTTTCAGCAGGAGACTGCCTTGATTGTTTTGCTTTGACTCCCTTAGCTAGACCGAGCTGCGTGAAGCAGGGGACTGGGTCTTTTTTTGCTATTGTATAATTTGTACAGTGCACATATGTACACTTAGCATATAACGGCTCTGTTAAAAACTAGTGGAACTATTATGTAAAGTGAAATACAACTCTAAAATTGTGGTCCTTTAACGTGCTGCAGAACTGGCATTGGTTTTTATCTGAAAACAAATTTACAGATACTGAGGTCTCCCAACTTACATCCCAAACACAGCATCAGCAAAGTGATACACTGTATCTTATTTTTGAGTGGGAGGGGTAGAAGGCAGGGTCTCATGATACCCAGACTGGCCCCAAACTTACCATATAGCTGAGGATGATCAAGAACTCAATCCTCCTGCCTCCACATCCAGAGTGTTGGGATGACAAGCATATGCTCCCAAGCCTGGCTCCAAACTGGGTCTTTTGAAAACACTCTGGTGCTAGTTCACTGTTCTCTCACCTTATGAAGACGTTAGCCATGTGGGGTCCATGCCTTCCCGTGACCTTACTTTAATCCTGGAGGTCATTTTACTGATGCTGTCACATTGGACTTCAATGTGGCTTAGGGGAGAGGCACAATTCAGACTTCAGATCCTTCACTCTGGAAAACAGCAGTCTGTGGCTCAAGGAACCTAAATAATTTTTCTACCTCCACTTTACCAGGGTTCCAGAAGGCCCATTTGTGTTTGTACATATAGAAGTGTTTGTTAGTATCTTACTCTAGGAAGGCAGTTCACTTCTTCAAATAACATCTTACTTTTTTTCTTATGTATTTGGTTTTTTTTTTTGGTTTTGAGACAGAGTCCCCCTATGTCGCCCATACTGCCTCAGACTTTCTGTCCTCTTGAGTACTAGGCTTGTAGGTATGCACCAACAGGCTCAGTAAAATAGTGTCTGCTTTCCAAGATTAGTTGTCAGCACTAAAGTTGAATCAATTGAGAAAAAAAAAAAAACTACACTTAGAGAGCTTTCTTTTAAGTTCAATAAAAAGCCATGTGAAATTCTATACTGTGAAAGAAGGGGAAAGGAGAAACTTTATTTTTTTCAGAATTTTCTATTTATCAAAGCCATTCTTTAACAATATTATTCTATGGGACTTGAATGCAATATAGATTCTCAAATACAGATTATATAAATGATGGTTCTCATGTCAGTCATAAATTGACTGACTGGAGGAGTAGCCTGCTAGGCTCTCATAATTGCTAGAAAATACATAATAGTATAAATCAGAGTCACCTAAAAAGCTGATGATTTAATAAGCTAAGAGACCATTTCTGGTAGCATTAGGGAAGAGGCACATTCTCCTAGGCTGGAATTAAAGGACAAGGTGCATTGCTTTGCCTTTATGTTTCCTGTGACTGCTAAAAGCACATTGGAAGTTCTTAACTCCACTGTAGGATGTGCGTGCCACAGAGCACGTGTAGAGGCTGGAGGACAACTTTCTGGAGGTGGCTCTCTCTTTCCACCCTTACGTGGGTTGCAATTGGATGCACATCCTCACTTGTACTTGCTGAGCCGTCTCAACTGTTTCCTGATTACATTTAAAAATAAAATGTAAATGTAATAAAAAATAATAACTACTGACTTTATCCAATCTTTAGGAAGCAATTTGAAGAAATGGCCTCTTACTACAAGTCATCTGTGCAGGAATTTGCTAGACAGGTAACCAGCACCACGTCTGAAGAGCGACAGAGGATGCTCAGGGACTTCTACAGTCCTCAGCACCCAGAGGTAAAGGAGTTCTTTGTGAGTTCTGCTTCAGAGTTGATCAGATCTGTACACAAGGCAGAAGAGAGGATCAAGAATAAATCCAGAGAAAAAGAATCTCTTTCAAAAGAAAGGCCCTCGAATTATACTTTGTCATGCAATGAGCCCACCAACAAAATGTCTCAAGTTCAAAACCCAAAACTATGTAAAGGAAAGTCAATCAGATTTCAGAATCATGGTTCCCATAGAGAAGAGACATTTTCTAGTGATGCAAAAATTAAGAAATCGTCTGTCAGCTTTACTCAAGAGATTGACAGTGAGTGTAATGACCACACACCCAAGAACACCATGACACGCTTCTGTCCAAACAGCAAGTCTGAAACCCCAGAGATAGAGCTAGAAGATTCCTTAGTACATCAGCAGGACCTCACAAGAGCATGCAGTTCAAGAAACAGACCACTTTTCAAGTTGGGAAACAAAAGGGTAGAAAACCCAGTGTCAGAAAACACTCCTGTGGAAGGCTTACTTGGTGACACTTCTATTCTTCATGACCTCTTTAAAAGCCATGGGGAAGGTCCCGCGCAGCTGCCAAAGAATGTTCTTTCAGGGCCTGTGGCAAAAGCAAAGCAGAGACCAAAAGATTTCTGGGACATCTTGAGTGAGCAGAATGATGACAGTCTTAGCAAGCTCACTGACTTGGCAGTGATAGAGACTCTGTGTACAAAAGTGCCCTGCTCCACAGCCTCCGAAAGGAAAGATGAACTGGAAGCTTCCCTTTGGAAAGCAAATGAGAAGTTTTTGTGGAAGACATTTAACTCAGATGATGATGAAAGCACAGCCAATACACAGAGAGAATAGAACCTGGATGTGCCGTTAAACTGGTGTACCAATGAATACACAGAGAGAATAGAGCCTGGATGTGCCGTTAAACTGGTGTACCGGTGAATACACAGAGAGAATAGAACCTGGGTGTGCCGTTAAACTGGTGTACCGGTGAATACACAGATTAGAGCCTGGATGTGCCGTTAAACTGGTGTACCGGTGAATACACAGAGAGAATAGAGCCTGGATGTGCCATTAAATTGGTGTACTGGTGAACTGCCAGCCCTGTTTATGGTACTATATGTAGGTAGCATCCTCAACAGTTGTTTGCAGACTTGCTTACTAAATTAATTGCTGTAGGCTTATTTTAACATCCTAAAATTTTATCATGGGTTTTCTTTCCCTCATATATGTTTTAATCACTAATGCTCAATTTATACAGTGCTGGGGATCAAGCCCAGGACTTCTTATACACCAAAAAGCACTCTGGCCAACTCAGCTCCATCTCCTGCCCCTGATTCCATCTTTGGAACAAATGTGATTGTATCATATTATAAACCCCTATTATTAAATGAAGCCCTGGGCATCTCCCCTCCTGTGTGATTCTGTAACCTCTCATGAATGACTTGCCCTGTGTTTGCCCACTCCTCATATGAAAGATAACAGGATTGAGCCAGATTAACATAGCCTTCTACTTTTAAACTCTTACAGACTGTCCCAAATCAGGTGGCAGCCACTGCACTCTTCTCGCTGGCATTGGGAAGTTATTGTTTTCCTTCTTCCTTGGAATTATGTTCTAGTACTATTGAATTGTTTTAGACAAAAGTTAGTAATGAATATGTGGTATTATGTTAAAATGGTAATTTTATAACTGCTCAGAGTAACGTATAAGTTTGTGAGCTGTGATGTTAAAGTAATGGGATTGTTATCATTGGCCAGAGTACCAACGCCTTAACTTTTCATATTACTATGACTTAGTAAATATAAATAAAGCTTTGTATTTTAACTTTGTATTTCTTAAATGGAAGGAAATGAATAGACATTTGATTTTTAATTGAAACCTCTTTCATTGAATTTAATATATGTGGTTTACACACTCTGAAATGTGTTCATTGTTGGATTTATTTACTTATAACATTTTCTCAGCTGTTGTGTTCTGTGATAGGTGCTTGACTATATAGGTGACAGCTATAGGTGAAGGCAGGGAGGTCCTTCTGTAAAGCATCATGTCTGTATAGCCCCTGGCATTGTGACTGGCACATCAAGGGTGTCAGACTGGTACCTGCCCACATTCAGCTGAGCTTGCGGGACTGATGCAGGAACTATCCATCCAGAAAATAGTAGGCTCTCCAGATTCCCCCCACACTGGAGTATTTTAAACTTCTCTTACTACTTTGTTCTGTTACTGTAAGAACCTCGTGAACCTGTTACAGTGTTACAGTATTTGAGGTAATTTGAATTTGTATTCCAGGCCCATGGTCATTCATACTTGGCTGGGGCGGGGAGCGGCAGTGAGCTAGCTAAGAGTTATGTTTGGGCAGAAACCAGCCCCTGCTGTGGGATGTTCTGTATGGCAAATGTGTTGCTGATTAGTCAATAAATAAAACACTGATTGGCCATTGGCTAGGCAGGAAGTGTAGGCGGGACAAGGAGGAGAATAAAGCTGGGAAGTGGAAGGCTGAGTCAGAGAGTCACTGCCAGTCACCATGATGAGAAACAGCATGTGAAGATGCCGATAAGCCATGAGCCACGTGGCAAGGTATAGATTAATGGAAATGGATTAATTTAAGCTGTAAGAACAGTTAGCAAGAAGTCTGCCACGGCCATACAGTTTGTAACCAATATAAGTCTCTGTGTTTACTTGGTCGGGTCTGAACGGCTGTGGGACTGGCAGGTGAGAGAGATTTGTCCTGACTGTGGGCCAGGCAGGAAAACTCTAGCTACAAGCCCCCAGTGAAGGTTGCACTCCCACCGACATAAACAAGAAGAAACAGGCTCCCCAAGGCTTCTCCAGTCCCTGATGGCCTCTAGCTCCCACTCCACTCCCCAGGAAGCAGGAAAGGGACCTTTTAGTAAGGGATCAGGCTTTGGATCAAACTAAGAGCTGTTGACAGTTTAACTTCGTGGGTACTTGGGGACACATCCCAGGTTGCCCGGTAAATCAGGATCCTCCAGGGATAGGCATGCCACTCAGAAGGTGACTGTTCTCCCCAGGCTGGGCATAGCACAGCTCCTGGGCTTTTCCTTTAACAACTGCAGCAGGATGGAACACAGCCAACTGAACTTGGCCTCACCCTTTGGGCAAACTGCAGACCCTGTGGACCCCAAATGAGGACTTCAATGTACTTCCGATGGCTGGCAACTCCAGCCAAGGGGCCACAAAGCCTAAGCTGCGGCCTCTGCAGACACGCGAGCCAGAAAAGAAACGGCACTAAAAGAGAAGAAAGGGTAATGGAATTAGGCTCTGGAGGCCGCGATGGAAAACTCCGGAGCTCAAGCCAGTGGGGAGTGCGCGTTATCTACCATCCCAACCGCAAGCATCCCGCATCCCTCACAGCTTGAAGCCATGGATGGTCCAGCTTTGGGGGTGCAGCGAGCTTGAAGAGCCCGATCCCCAAAGCGGGGGGGGGGGGTGCTGCATGTCTGCGATCCTGTGAGGTCCCCATAGTATCCTGGCAGGAGGGTGGGGATGGTCGCAGGTGGCCAGTCGAGGGTCCAAGCGGGGATATAGACAGGAATTAGGCGGGAACAGGTGGGGACCCCCGCGGGGCACAGCTTGGCGCAGTGGGTTGGGTGAGTGAACCTCAGGCGGAGAGGTCCCGCCCCCTGGAGGCCCGAGGTGGTGGTTTCCGCTGTCTGAATCTCTCAACTGATCCCCGAGTGTGGAGTCTTGGGAAGCCGCAGGGAGGAGGCGCCCACCCTCCCCGCCAGCACCTAGACGGAGCTGCAGAGCGAGGAAGGAAGTGGGAAGCTGGCAGGAGGGATCTGGCCGATTCCAGGCGCAGTGTTAGAGAGCACACTGGGGATTCGGCCAGGCACGCCCGGCAGACACACTGCCGGCCCGCCCGGGAGGAAATCAGACTTAGCACCTTGGCGTACTCTACCTAGATTCCCCGGCCAGCTGCCCCGGGAAGCGACCCCCCACGTCCAGAAGCACTCCCCAGCCTGTGCACGCCCTGCGCTGGCTGGGCTTCCAGTCCTCGGCCACACACCCCCTAGGACAAGCCCTGCTCCTCCTGCCTTCCCCGCCCTCCCACCTTCATGCTTCCCCCAAAGCCAGCGCCTTCTGCCAAGCTTCCATTCCCAACCTGTTATCACGTCCTGGAGAGAATGTCTCTGAAATATTTCCTGAATCTCACTGCCAAGAACCTCGAGTTTCCGTCTCTCCACCTCCCATCTGGATGCCTGCAGACTTCTCCCTGGGTTCCCAGGCTTCAGCCCTTCCCTCTCTAATCCATTTTCCACACTGCATCCCCAAAGCCTGTTGAAACACAGGGACCTTGGCTGTAGTAAACCTCGTTTCCTCTGTTAGGGAGGGTTAAAGGGATTGAGCTGAGGAATAACTACATCAGTTCACATTTATTGAGCATTTACTGTGTCGTTTGTTTAACATTTCAAGTGGTTTTCACGTTTAATCTGCCCAGCAGCTCTCCTGGGCAGGTGTTACCTGTTTTATTGAGGAAGAAACTGAGGCACAGAAGCCACACAGCCCTGAATCAGCAACAGCTGCTCCACTACCTGAAAATTTGAAAGCCACCACTATCCTGAGTGGAAGGACCTGCCGCAGTAAGCTGTGCCCTGGGAGCAAATAGTCACTAAGTGGATCAGGCAGGTGATGTCAGATCGGATTTGCTTTGTCACCCCACAGCGCCCCCCCCCCCCCCCCCCCGTGTTTACACCTGCCTTTAATGGATTAGAAGTCTGAGTCGCAGGACTAGCACCACCCCCATATTTGGCCTCTGAGCCTTGGAGGCCATTACATTGTTCTTGATTGGCAGTGTCTAGGAGACACAAGACAGACTGAGGCACTCTTCTTCTGTCCCTCCTTCCAACACAAGCTCTTCAGAACCCCCATAACCCCTTGTGCTCTTGTATCCCTACCTGCCAATCTCTGACCATGCCCTTTGCTTGTGCAAGAGTCCTGGTTCCCTTTGTTCTGGGAGGAGTGGGATTCCTGTCTTTAAATTATGGCTGGGAAATCAAGACTCAACAATGGGCCCTTTCTAGCCCTCCCTTCTCCCCCCCCCCCCAAAAAAAATAATATTACAGGGTCCCTGGCCCTATTTTTCTGCCTAGGAGTTAACAAGGACTCTATAGCCAGTCTGACCCCACCCCTCTCCTGTGGCCTGGAGCAAAGACTCGGGGATAGCAGTGAGCATGAGACCTTGATTTGCCAGCTGAAGATGTGTTTCTACCTCTGTGCACCTACCTATTACATGTACTGCTTTGCGCTTGGGTTTTCATATGTGACTATTAGCAGCTTTCTGAAATTTTAATTCCTTTTCTTGTATAGATCCATAGTAGGACAAAGATTTAGTATCCTTCAGTGGTCAAATACTATATCATCCTGTCATTCCTCACCATTCTGGTAGTTTTTATTTATTTATTTTGAGAGGATCTTCATGTGTCCCAGGTTGGCCTCAAACTCACTATGTAAGTGAGAATGACCTCGAATTCTTGGTCCTCCTGTCATTAGAGATTACAGGACTATGTCACCACGTCCAGCTACTCAGCAGGGCTCTCTCCGGAATGGCCACGGTTATAAACCGGCTGTCTTCTCGGCCCTGTTTTCAGTGCTCTCTGTGTTAAACCTCAGATCAATACCAAAAATAAGGTGCTGTTTCAGAGTGGAGCACTGAGCCTCACCCCAGCCCGGCACTGTTACCGCTTCCCCCACGCGGGGACTAGAAAGACACTGGTGGCAGCGAGCTATAACTCAAGGCTACCTCCATCTGGGCAATAGTGGGAGGACAACAGGCCTGTGGTCTTGATGGGAGAAGAGAGAACTTAGCTTTGAGAGCTGCAAGGTTGCAGGATGCCTGCTTACAACTCTATCCAGGGAGAGAGCCAGCAGGGCTGTGTGCCTGGGAGAGAGAGTTGCTGCAAAGTCTGTGATCTAACATGTCTAGGGGCTTTCCTGTCCACTGATATCTGTTATCAGCATGTGCCTGTGGGAAATGGTTTGAACCTCAGGCCCACTTCGTCGCTCGACCTTTAGTCCCTTGTCTGATCTCAGGTGCCTCATGCTCAGTGTGTTTGGAACAGCTGTCTTCATCATCAAGTCAACACTCCTCCTTCTCCTGTCCTTGACTCCTGACTCAGTTAGGGACAGCAGCATCTATCCTTGGTCAGATTACCAAATCGAGCACCATATTTTTTTATTTGGGTGTATCAATTTTTCTCACCAGTGACTCATCTCAGGAAGCTAGTCAGTCCTTTGACTTTCATGGCTTAAGTGCCCTTTAACCTGACCCCTGCCTGTCCAGGGTTCCACCACTGTCCACTGCAGCTCTTTCTTTTGTTAGGCTTCCTAGAGACATTTATTCTCTTGATTTTTTTTTCCTTTAAAATTTTTAATCTATTCTTTGATAATTTCACACATGAATACAATGTATTTAGGTGATAGCACACCCCACCCCACTCTTTCTGGAGCTTCTCCTTTGCCCTTTCAACTAGAATATATTATTTCTAAAAGAATTAATTTGTTGCAAATATCACAAACTGAAAATCACTGGTGTAACTTGGCTTCAGGTGGAGCTTGGTAGAGTAGAGACCACCAGGTCTGAGGTCCACAGCACTCGTAAGAAGTGTTGCCCTCCAAAGGCTGCCTTCATTTCTCAGTGCTAAAACATTTCAAGTTCTCTTTTGTAGCTATGTGGTTTAGATAGGGTCGCGTGAAGCACACACTGGCCTCTAACTCTGTGTAGCTGAGGATGGCCTTGAACTGATACCACAGCAAATTTATGCAGTGCTGGGCACTGAATCCAGACTTCATGCAAGCTATGCAAGTACTTTATCAACTGACCTATGTCCCCAGCCCTTAACCCTACTGTTCAGTTGATCGCCAGAACTAACTTTGATATCAATAGGTATCAG